GTCTCTCCTGTCTCTCTCCTTCTCTGTCTCTCTCCGATCCTGTGTCTCTCTTCTCTGTCTCTCTTCTCTCTGTCTCCTCCCACATATCCCCTCCTCTCAATGGTTCACCAGGCATGTTCACACCTCCTCTGGCAGTCCTCTCACTCTGTTTTTCTCTCGCTATGTCTGTCTCTATTCCTGTATTCCTCTAAATTCTTTATTTAATCCTAACATTTCTGTTTTTTCTGTTTACTTGTGTACTTCTCTCTGTACTCTCCTTCTCTCTCCAGCACACACACACACCACCTACACCCCTCCCCCTCTCCCTCCCTCTGATATTATCATATTCATAAAAAGGATAAAAACAATTCACACATGTTGGGAGATTTTTACACAAGTAGCGCCGCACCACACACACACACACACACACACACACACCAACACACACACACACAAGGCACATCCGGCATTCATCCACATGCTAAATCATGATAATCTGTAAACATGTGCAAGTTTTCAGCACCCACTCCTCTGCACAACAACCCCGTCATGGTGTCAGCCTCAGATTCAGCTTTGTCATCAGAAAGTAACAGTTTTAGTCCCATTCGCCTCACCAAGAGTAAAACAAAGTCTTGACAGTTGAGTTGGCACAAGTTGGATCTCTGTCACTGCCTCAGCAGGTGGACACTCCACCAGCTCTGAACTGAGCCAGGTAACAAATAGATCCATAGGCAGGGGACAGAAGAATGTGTGTCACCAATGATGCACAGTACATGTGGAGTTTTCCTAGTAAACACTCTTTAGTTTCTTGGATTATATGAACATTTACACTGTAATACAGGTAAATCCACTGGTGCAAAATCAGCAGTGGTGGAAATTAACATTTAGCTCCAAGCTGGCTGTACTTACTATAACTCTCTAAAGGTACTTTACTTAAGCATATTCATGTTTGTGCTACTTTGCTCTTCTACCTCCCACTATATTTCAGAGAGAAATGTACTTCTTTACTAGCACACATTATATACATACGGTCGAAGTCTTACTTTATTTAAAATATGATGCCAGTGCTTTACATATTGAAAATTGGCAAACTACAACAATTACGTAATAATCAACCAGTAAATGACAAGTGTGTTATTTAAAATGGTATGGCATGTGAAAGCTTGGTGTTTGCTGCATAATGACTATTTTCATTCTTCATTTTGGCTTTTTTTTATAATCACTTCTTGGGAAGAATTCTTACCCCTTGTCATAGGAGTGTCTTTCAAAGCCCTATGATACTTCCTAACTTTTATTATGTTATTTTACAGAGCATCCAAACAGATTTAGGTGTGACAGCAGACACCCAGAGTCTCTTGAAGGTGAGATTGTAGTGAAGTCATTTTAAAAATTGTTATTAGAATTATTAGTTATTTATTATTTTGTATTTAAATTCCTTAATTTAATAAAATATCATATAATCAATATTATAATAATGATGATGATGAAGAGGGATGCAGAAAACCCCTAGTCAGCTCTGTGCCCTGAATACAGCTGGTCCCCAGGCTTTGGTTGTTTTGTAATGTGTAACACCATTTTATGAGGAACATGCAAGGCTTGTGGGAGGCGACTGCAACGTAAAATAATAAAACTGGATTCTATATCAGAAGGGCTTCGCTTAAGACAGTCGGCTCAGAAAAATTCAATAGATAGATACAGGGTCCACCTTAATTTACAATTCCACCTGACATTGTGCTGATAAACCACTGATATACCAGTGAAGCTTTTAACTGTCTTCAGGATTAACGCATGCATGCAATTTCCTGAAAAAAGGATCGGTATTTTTGTCTTAATTACAAAAGTTTCCTTTATTTGTCCCTGGGATGTATGGGCAGATCTACAGTTAAACTAAATGCTAATTTTTTGAGATCGAAATGTTGAAACAGAATAACTGAAAACTACATCAGTTCACAAATTGGCGCAATTGTCTGCAGTGAAACTTTTTCAAGTTGCAAAATTGTGGCCAACAAGTTAGTGCTGCTGTCTTCAAGTTTCAATATTTCCTCAAAGGGGTTTGTTTTTCTTTTCACAAATCATAGCTACCCCCCCTGTGGTCTCCACACTTGCCCTGTCCCGTCTTGCAGTTTGCCGTCCAAAATCTTGTGAATATATATATATATATATAGCCCTGTTTAGAGTTCAGTGCGAACAGTTTTATTGGGAATATTCAAAACCTCAACTCATAAACTATCTGCATGTCAAAAAAAAAGTAT